CCTTCTTCCTCCCTTCTTCCTCCCTTCTTCCTCCCTTCTTCCTCCCTTCTTCCTCCCTTCTTCCTCCCTTCTTCCTCCCTTCTTCCTCCCTTCTTTTCTCCCTCATTTTCCTCATTTTCTCTTCCATTTTTCCCTCCTTTTCCCCCTTTTCCCTCTTTCCCCCACTTTTTTCTTCCATTTCCTCTCTTTTCCCTCCAATTTTACTGATTTTCCCTCTCCTTTTCTCCCTCCTTTCCCCCTCCTTTCCCCTCCTTTTTCCCTCCTTTTTCTTCTTTTCTTTGTCCATTCTACCTCCTTTCTTCCTCCTTTCCCGCTCCCTTTCTTTCTCCTTTCCCTCCTTTTTTCTTCCATTTCCCTCTCCTTTCCCCCCTTTTTCCCTCTTTCCCCCTCTTTTTTCCTTCATTTTTTTCCATTTTTCCTCCTCTTTTCCTCCCTTTTTCTCCTTTTCCCCTCTTCTTTCCTCCTTCTTTCCTCCTTTCCCACTCCTTTTCTTCCTCCTATTCCTCCTTTTTTTTCTTCCATTTTCCCTCCAATTTCCTTCTTTCCACCCCTCCTTTTCTTCCCCCTTTTTTTCCTCATTTTTCCCTCCTTTTCCCACTTTTGTCCTCTATTTCCCCTCCAATTTTCCTCCTTTCCCCCTCCTTTTTCCCCTCCCCTTTTCCTCCTTTTTCCTTCCCTTTCCCCTCCTATTTCCCTCTTTTCCCCTCCTTTTCCCCTCTTTTCATTGATATTTGGAGCTTTGAAATCCCCCAGGATTTTCCCCAAAATCTCCCAAATTTTGGGATATTTCATGGATATTTGGATCTTGGAAATCCTGCAGGATTTTTTCCCCAAATAAATCTGTAATTTTAGGGATGGGATGAACCCGTAATTTTAGTTATGGGGTAATTCCAGAATTAGGGATAAACCCGGAATTATAGGGATGGGATAAACCTGGAATTTTAGGGATGGGATGAACCTGGAATTAGGGATAAACCCAGAATTTTTGGGATGGGATAAATCTGGAATTTTAGGGATGGGATAAACCTGGAATTTTAGGGATGGGATAAACCCAGAATTTTAAGGACCCCGGGATGGCTGGGATCACAATTCCATGTTTGGAGCAGCTGGAATTGCTGGATGTTTCCAAAATGTTTCCGACATTTCCAAAAGTAACCATTCCCAGCCTTCAAAATCCAATGGGAAAACGGAATCTGCCAGAGTTTTCCTACAAAAAACCCTTTGGAATGAGGAGATTAATTTGAATATCCCCAGGTGGGGAGGGGGGAATCCTTAAAAACAGATCCAAAAATTCCAGGGATTTTCTTGAAGCCGCAAAATTTCCCTGAATCCCTGGAAAACTTCAGAACCCTGCCCTGGGATGAGAATAATGAAAATATTCCGGGTTTAATTCCTCTGGTGTGAATTCAGGAGGAGCCGGGCGGGGCCAGAACTGAGGACATCAAACGATCTCCACATTCTGGGGAAACTGAGGCTGAAAGTTGGGAAATCTCCCAATCTCCACATTCCAGGAAAACTGAGCTGAAAGCCGGGAAAGATCCCAAAAACTGGGAATGAAGGAGGGTGGGAAGGAGGGAGGGGAGGGAGAAGCAAAATTCCCAAATCCCTGCTCCGCTGACGAGGCGAAAGCGCGGAGCTGAAATTGCCACGGAACCTTTGGAGCTCCAACTGGGAATAATCCGGCTTGAAAGGGACAAAAAGAGATTTTTTTCCCAAAAAAGCAACGGCTCAGAGTTATTTTGGGAAGGAAGGCGGCTCCCGGTGTCATTCCAAGGATTTTCAGGTCAGGCAAACTCTGTCCCTGGATTGTGGGACGCAGCTTGGAGTGTTGGGAACGTTCAAGTCCTGCGGTTCCTGTTCATCCCAAAATTCCTGCTCAGGGAATTCCTGGGATCAGGAGGCTCCAGTGCAGCTTTTCCCAGGAATTTGTGGCTGATCCATCCCTGGAAGTGTCCGAGGCCAGGCTGGAAGGGGCCTGGAGCAGCCTGAAATGGATTTTGGAGGTCCCTTCCAACCCAAAGCATTCCAGGATTCCGTGTCCAGGGTGAGATGGGATTTTGGGATGAATTCATCCCAAAGGGGATGGGGAAGCCCAGGAATGGAATTCCCAGAGCAGTCCCTGGATCCCTGGAAGTGCCCAAGGCTGGGCTGGACATTGGGCTTGGACCACCCTGGGATCGGGGAATTTGTCCCACCCCACGGACAAATGGGATTGGAACAGGATCAACTTTTGGGTTCATCCCAACCCATCCCAAACTGGGGTTTTGGGGGAATTTCTTTTCTGCCAGTTCCGGGCCTGTTGTGGGGTTGGGTTGGTTTTCCCAGCCTGGGATGATCCCAAGCCGAGGGAAGGGTTGGGGTTAATGGCACCGGAAAAGCAGGAGAGGTTTCGCTGGGAATTTGGGGATTTTTGGGATTTTGCAGGAGCAAAGCAGCAAGGGTGTGCTGGGATGACAACAGGATTTGTGTTCTTGGGAATTTGGGGTTTTCTGGGATTTGGGATTCCTGTGTTCCTGGTTCCCAGTCAATATTCCCAGTTCCCAGCCACT